CTCCAATTTGGTTCAGTTGACTGGAAACTAATGCGAGATTGTTAGCCCTCATGTTAGAGATTAGTGGGAGCTTTGGAGCGGCAACTGATATCCTCCCAACCTAACCATAGAATTAGGGACTAAACTCTGGATTAGTCAATGTTCTTTATGCACTTGGAAGAGGGTAAAGAGGAAGAGGGTAAAGAATAAAAAGAGGGTAAAGAATAAAATTGCTCCTATTTGGTACAAAATAATTTTTATATATTTTTAAATAATTTTAAGTTTTTTACAATCCATATACTTATTGTAAAGGGGAATGTTGCTTTCTTAAATTTGAACTCTTCGTCACAAAACTTTGTTTAGTCTTATTGTTTAGTCTTAGTAAATTAAAACCTTATTTAGTCTTAATAAATTTAACTTTGAAGTTTAAACTTAGTTCTTTTAGTATTAGTTCTTTTAGTAACATTTCTGTTAGCATTCATTAAACCCATTTTAACTTGTCTTTCTTACTTTAATTTTTAAAGTTTGAATATTATGATCTATGTTATTATCATAAGAATTTCCATCTTCCAAACTAAGATTTGATAGTGGTAGATTAAATTATCATAAGAGATTTCTTATTGCACTTCTCTGTGGGATCGGTACTGGGGTTTTTATAGAGGGGTTTTTAATAGTGGGGTTTTTAAAGAAAGTACTATATTACTTAAAGCGATACGTGCACTTGCGTAGAACCACTAGTGTGTGAACTATTTTATATATATTATAACATTTTGTTTTTAACAGCTAAATATAAATTGGGTCAACTTTTCGGCCATATTTTAGAAGCTAAATTACTGCATAATTTTAGGACAGGTCAAGTTTTTGGCACTGTTACTAGGGATTTAAATTGAAATAAAACACAGAAAAATAACACAAACTAGGGGTGCATCACCCGACAATGCTTGTACTTTGTGCACTGGCCTTTATTCTCTCTGGGATTAAAAGGTAGCATAGGAATTTTCCTGTTGACGCCTTGAAGGTATCTTTATGTGGATTTAACCTCATGTTATATTTTTTAATTATTTCAAACACTTATTTTAAATATTTTATGTGTTGTTTAACTATTTTAATTTTAACTAACACATCATCTACGCACAATTCAACATTTTTACCCTTTTCTTTTGAAAATATTATATCCATGAGTCTCTGAAATGTAACAACAATGCTCTTAACCCTAAAGTACATTACATTACAACAGAACATTCCTTCACTCGTTATAAATGTTTTTTTCTTTTTCTTTGGATGGATGCATCTTGATCTGATGATATTAGAAGAAGGCATCTAGACAAAGTGGCTGACCGTTGGGTCCACCTGAGTGTCAATCTTTGATAATGGTTAGCTATCCTTCAGATAAGCAGAGTTCAGATTGGTGAAGTCCACACACATCATCCACTTGCCACTCACTTTTTTCACCATCACCACATTTGATACCAAGGTATAGTATTACACAACTCGGTTATAGCCAGTTCTTATAAACCTGCACCTTCTCTTAGATTGGTTAAACAAGAGTAAATGCCGAAGAACTTGTCTCCTACTTCATGGGCTAAACCGATGGATTCGTGTTTAGTAGGTGGTAAGGAAAATTGATCATAATTCTTAACATCTGGACTGTTGACCATGCCAAAACATTTTGGTAGTCATTGAGGTTTGAATTTAAAAATTCTCTTGACCATGCATCAAGAACTTCACTTATCATAAAAAATTTACCAAGCTCTCCGTCAGCCGTAAGGACTGGAGGGCGGTCTCGCTAGTCTCGAGGCCCCCTTCGTGTTGGTTCGTAAGGTCAAGTTGTTTATGTTCAACACTGTCTATTGCTGGAGGTAGCAGATTCTCAATTTCTCTAAGTTGCCTCGGACAGTTCTCACCTCTTTGTCGCACAAAAATTTTAATGCTACATGGTATATCAAAGTCACGACTTTGAAGCCATTGTGTAGCGGTTGGCCAAAGATGACATTTTAGGTTGGCGGTGAGTCAAACTACATAAATTCGTTCATGTAAGTGAACTGTTTTTCACCTTCTAATCAAGTGATTACCACTGCCATTATTCTAAAGGCTTCCTTTCTTTCACCAGAGAAACCATAAAGGGGTTTGAAAGGTGTATCTAGTCGGCCATGTTTGAATTTTATCTTGTCAAATGTTGACTTAAACAAAATGTTCACTAAGCTTCTAATGTCAACTAAGATACTGCCAGCTTGGCAGTTACTTATTAAGGTAGTAAATATAATATCATCATTATAAGAATTTTCTTGGGGGAAAATCTATGTTGGTGAATGTGATGGATAGATGAGTGATATGCTTTTGAGTCAAAGTGGTTGCACACAATTCTCACAACCGAAGCCTCTTTAGACTAGTCCATCGGGATGAATTTTCATCTCCTCCAGATATTGTCGGTATCACTCCAACAATGTGAAAAGCATTTGCTCAAATCAATTCGCCTAAAATTTCTTCCCTTGCCTTTGGCTCGTTTCTCTGGGTTCCAAAATCTCCTTGAATTTTCTAGCTCTGATCAGCTCTTTGGCAAGGCTTTGTAGGTGTCGACATTCCTCATTATCGTGGCCATGGTTTCTATGGTACACACAATATTTCTTAGTATCTCAGAGAAAAGCTACAGTCCTCATTAGTAGCCCCTCAAAGAACTCCTCCTTCTAGATGGTCTCCACTAGCTCTACCATTAAGACTCTTAGTAGAGACACCTTTGGTGCTTTGTGACAATGCAACAAATGCTCATTATAATGAGCTCACCTCTGGTAAAGGTACCAAGCCTAACCTCCTCAGTTGTAACTTTGGTTGGCACTCTGTTGACTTGAGGTGCCTAACTGTCTTCATACCATGAATGAGTTGAAAGATACGAGTTTTCCCTTGGCCTCCACCTATCGCTTTGGGGTGCCCTCTTGTGTGGGCGACTGATGACTGTAGGATGGAGCTGTACTCCTTAACCAAGATTTGTATCTTGGACAACTTAAATAGCTCGGCTAAGAAATTTGGTCATTGTAAGGTTCGAGCATATCTGAGTGGTCCTTATTCATTTGCTTGAGCTCAGGCAACATGCGCTACAGTGTGTTCCAAATCCTGCATCTTTAGCTGATGTTCAGGAATTGAGTGATAAAAGAGCAGAGGCTTTGGTTTTGTCCTTCCTGACTTTTGATAGGGTATATTAACTCTCATGAGGCTTCTAAGTGCTTGTAAACTATGCCACAAACATTTACTTGAACTTTGTAGAAGATGCAATTACTTCTGTCGGCAATCAATTGAACCAACTGAGGGTCGACTTCCTTTTTATGTTGAAGAAGAGATAATATTTCAGTTAGTAATCTTTAAGAGGCACATTGTTGACTCAAAGGAAGCAATGTGGTCGACAGGATCAGTCTTTCCCTTACAGGATTCCTACGCCGGTATCTTGAACCCTTTTGAGAGCTCAACATAAATGATCAATCGAGAGAAGGCATTCTCAGTCTATCAAGATGCTTTAATACCCCCAAATTTATGTCTATCTATCAGTGCTAACCCAACACTATCTAAGTGTTTGGGGTCTCCTTGTCTTTCCAGGGCTTGAGGAGCCCTTCGACTGTTGTGTGTTGGCCCTTCCACATTGGGATTTGACTCCCTTCCTCGAGCCAATGCCACTCGAAGGGCTTCAATCATATGTTATTTCAACTCTTAAAATAGTTGCTGCACAAACTCCCTTGTGCACTCTATGTTAGTGGTGTCTTTGTTGTGAGTTTCTTCCCTGTATGCTACCCCTCTTGTTGTTGGCATGATCCATGCTGATCGCATCTTTTAGGATGATGAATCCTGATTTGTCTATGAATCACACCCAAAGAATATAGTATAGGATGAGAGAGAGAGAGAGAGAGAGAGAGAAATGCACAAGGAATGAATAAGAATTTATAGTAAGTGTAACCATTTATTCTTAGAATGATCCCCTATTTATAGAGAATGTGCACAATATGTGCCTTTATTTTTATGCTCTGCTTTAGTTTGGAGCTATATAGGTTATTCTAGGCACTTTACGTATGTTGGCTTAGAGCTTAGTTGTTCTTTGGCTTGACTGGCTGGACTGGCGAGGCTTTGATAGGTACTGTCAGTCGACTAGGCTTAGTAGATGCTGCCCGTTGGCTAGGTTAACGAGTCCTTAGTAGGTGTCGCCGGCCAGCTAGGTTTGGTAGATGCTACCAGTTGACTAATCTCTTACAGGAGAAAAATTGATCCAATCAAAAATGTTTTGTCAATCGGTTGGTCAGGTCCAGCCATCGACCCAAGATCCCATATGAGAAAATCTCGTTGTTAGTGTTAAGCTAGGCTATCGGGCAAAAGAGTGAATCACAGTAATTTGATAGTAACTGCTCTTAGAGGAAGAGATCCTGAGGGATGGCTAAGAGTTGTTGTTCTATTGATTCTTGATGATATTTATAGAGATTGCTAGATGTCTTCGGTATAGATGAGGTGCTCGAGGGGTTATCTCCTCCCTTCGGTTAGTGTCATCACAGTGAATGACTCAAATTATCCTGTGCCTCGCTTCTGGTCGAATTGCGCAGATTCAAGTTGTTCGGTTGTCTTAGTTGACCTTGGCCTTGATACGACAAGTCAGATAACTGGTTCATCTGGCCTTTTGCCGATGGACCCTCCTTTGATATGCCTTCCCGTTTGGATAGTCAGATTTCCTCAAGATTCATGCTGACAATTTTTCTGTGTACACCTATATATTATTTAAGTATCTAACATATGAATTTTACTTTTTTATTTTTATACCACACATTCTTTCATATCACAACAAAATTATCATCATTTAAACATTTAAGAAGTGGACTACATATATAAACGAAAGATGACATGTTATGTAAAAACTAATGTTTAGATGTTAGTTATGCAAATACAAAGAAATTAAGTAGTATATATATATATATCTTTCATTATAATATATAATCAATCAATCAAATTCTACATGACAAGTAATTTAAAATAAATTCAAGTGTTATAAAAGATCAAATTTGGAAGTGTATATCCTCTCTCTCCTCCCCCATTTTCCAGTCCCATCTTTATTGCTCAACCCAACATGCGAAATCGGCAACATTTAAAAACCAGAGACAGTTCCATCAAATCGAAACAGTAAATCATCAGTCCTCCCTGAAGCTAAGATCCCCTCTCCCCCCTCTCCGCAGTCAGCACAACGGCAGATCCACCGGCGGCGGCTCCAACGCCTCCAGCTCCCCAAGCCCATCCTCCACCACGAAAGCCATCGCCAATCCCCAAGTAATATGAACATCCAAATGGCAATGCAGAAGCCAAACCCCCGGATTATCCGCCTCAAATCTTATCACAGCCCATCCCTTCACCGGCACCCCGACCGTATTCCTCAGCGGCGGATCAAACAAGTTGAATTTCTCCCTATCTTTAACCGGATCGAAGTTCCCATATCCCTCCGCAAGTATGTAGAAATTATACCCATGGAGATGAATCGGATGGTTCTCAGCAGCGACAATGTTAGTCCCCTGCAACACTAACTCCACCACAGAACCAAACTTCAATTTGTACACCTTGGTCGCCGGCTCCGGCTGCCACAGCTCCCTTCCGATGTTTTTACCAGTGTAGTCGAACTCCACCGGTGGCTTAGCCGGGAAATCGGGAGTGAAAATCCCGGGCACGCCCAGCTGATGCGCCTGAAGGATGGATAAGCTCGATGGAAGAACGAACGAGTAGTTATTAATGCTAGAGGTGAGCCGGGTTTGGTTTGGCCCTCCGCAGATCTGACCGGGCAGGCAGTCGAATAAACCTAGGCCGACGGTGAAGAAGAGATGCTCGTCGACGGGGCCTGGCAGCTTGACGAACGTGGGACTCCTGAAGGCAGCGGAGAAAGAGGCGACGGTGAGAGTGTCGTTGAATGCAGGGAGGATGGGCAGGGCAGGGGGTGGTTGGTTCGGTTCGGGGAGGCAGTTGCAGTCGTAGTCGAGAATGGCGGTGGCTGTGGTGTTATCGAAGGGGAGGGATTCGGCGGAGGAATATGCACGGGCAGCGATGTAGTAGCGGGTAGCGGGTTGGTTGGCGGTGATGAGGACGTCGGTGGTTTGGCCGGGAGCGAGCATGATGACGGACGTGGAGAAGGGTTTAATGTAGGAGGCGTCGGCGGCGACGACGACCATTGGGTGGCCGGCAATGGAGACAAAGAGCTCGGTGTTGAGGGCGGCGTTGATGACGCGGAGGAGAACGGTCTCGCCGGGATTGACAGGGAAGGTGTTGATCTCTGAGATGAAAATGGAGATGTTGTTAGAGGAGAGAAGTGGTGAAAGGAGATTCTTTTGATGGAAGATACATACCTTTGGAGGAGCAATTGTAGAGATCGCCGGGCTGGCCGTTAATGGTGAAGGCGTCGGAGATGGTGGGGGAGGACCCGGTGCGGATTGCTTCGTGGATAACGTCGATGGGATTCTGGTCCCACCACTCGCCTGCTCATCAGAGTAAAATTCGATGAATATGTAATATTTGATAAATAGTAATGAATTTCATTTGTTCTCTAAATAGCAGTTAAATCTTAGTTACTCAAAATATATATAAAGTATATGTAGCTATGGCACGTTAAAAATTAAAAGAAATGTAATTGTAATTACCAAGAAGGATTGGGTATTCCCTTTTGGGTTGTAGAAAGGGAAAGCTATTCTCCTCCTTAGGATGGATGATAAGAGCACCATACACTGTAGCCCTTAGCCAAGAGCTATGAGCATGCCACCAAAGTGTTCCTTCCTGATCTTTGATGGTGAACCTATATGTGAAGGTGCCTCCGGGTTTAACCGGACACTGAGTCACGAACTCGGGTCCATCAGACCAAGCAGTTCTTATTTGCCGTATTCCATGCCTAAAAATTTCATATTTGTCATTCAATATAATTCTCGACTTTCTAAGAGCTATTATAATTTCATTTTTAGCTACAATTATTTAACATTCTTAAAATTAACTATATATCCTAAAATTTTTTAAAAATAGCAAAAACATAATAATAAATGTGAAACAAAATAATTTAAAAAGTGTCTCAAACAGATACTTAATCTATATTTAGGCTTGTATAGATTGATTAACAAGCTTGTAGGTGCCTGAAATAGAATTTGGTCGACCAACATCAAAGCACATACAACCTTGATCAACCGAAACATCAATGGCTATAGTCTAACCAAGAGCTAGCTTTGAACAATTAGTGCTCATATAAATTATATGTACCAGTGCACTGTAACATTATATTGAACACGGTTGACAACAGTGACGATCAAGGTGTCGCCGTCCCTGACTACAATAGTTGGGCCTGGGAACTGGCCATTCACCGTAATGATGTTGTGAGACTTACATAGCCTTTTCACTGGAGTCTCCTGGATCTAAATAAATCAACAAAATCATAAATATAAGCCATGCACCATATGAAAATATAATAAATATTTATGATCAGGAAATTTAAAATAGGAGACGTACAATAAAGTCATGGTGGTGAACTTCTGCCTTTGAGTTGGAAGAGTGAACGAGGAAGGCGAGGAAGAAGCAGCTGGAGAGCAAACGGGCAATGGAGCTTCTTCTGTCAGTCTCCATTGTTGATCACTCTTCTTCCTGCTGGTAGTTGATGGAGCTCCAGGTTGGTAGTAGTGGAATTTGGAAGTGAGAGGGGAGGGGTTGTTTTATAAATATGTGAGGGGTTTGGGGTTGTTTGGGTTTGGCAGTTTAGGTTTGATTTGTGTAATATTAGCTTCATTTTTCCTTCTTCAGATATGGAAAGGCAGTGCATGAGGTTTCTCAGCACTTGTTCTCATATTTATTTATTTACTTATTCTTAACACTGAAGGAAGTTGTTGCACCCACTGGCCTCTCCATTCTTATTTAAAAGTAGATTCAACAGTAATTGTTTGACATTTTTCGGGTGGCGATGAGTGTATTTGTAAGGACAAATACATCATTGTACCCTTTAATCAAGAGAAATTGTAAAGGTGCTCTTGCCATATTTTTTTTCTTAATGAAGAAAGGAGATTATTCTAGATTATGGAAAGGTCAAATTTAGAAGGCAAAGCTTAAATCGGAAGCTTACAAAATGAAAGAAAAAAAAAAGACAGGCAAATTCACAGACGCAGCACAAAATATATTTTCATATCTCACTCCTAAGCTCTCATATTTACATACATAACACTAAGGTTGTTAAAGTTATTTTACATTTATTGAATTTAAGGTTGGCTTGAAATTTTTAAGAGTTTATTAAAATTTTATTAAAATTCATTGAAGTTCATTAGGATTTATTAAAGTTTTTTTAGATTGATTAAGTTTGTTAAAGTAAAAATTTTTTAGAGTAACTAATGAAGAAGGTAGAGTTATTTTAGATTTTGCTTTAACATATGATTTTGTTATTTGATTTTGTTATTACTAATACAGAGATGAGCATCTTATTACTTATAAAAGTGGATCTAATAAAACACAAATTGATTATTTTCTTATGAGAAGAAGAGATCGTCGAGATTGTAAAAATTGTAAGGTCATTCCAAGTGAAAATTTAAGTACCCAACATCATTTATTAGTTTTAGATTTTAAAATTAAGAGTTGTAAAATAAAAAATACTAGGACTCATTATCGTAGAATTAAATGGAGAAACTTAAAAGACACAAATAAAATTATTTTTATGAGTCAAACTCAAGATTTCAAAATTTGGGGTATTCATGAAGAAGCAAATGTTATGTGGGATAAAGTAGCAAAAAATGTGCTTGGAGAATCAAAAGAAAACGTTTTTATAAATAAAAATAGTTGGTGGTGGAATAATAATGTGTAAGAAAACATAAAATATAAGAAGTTATGTTATAAAAATTGGTTTAAATGTAAAAGCTTAGAGAACTGGAAAAAATATCAAAATATCAAACGGCTCTTTGCTGTATCTAGTTAAGTGCATCTCCTTATAAAAACATTGTTGTGCTAAAAATTTCGCTTTTAGTGATCTTTATAATAGATTAGATACTAAGGATGGTGAAAAAAAATATATAAACTAGCCAAGCAAAAAGCAAAGAAAAGTAAAGATTTAATTCAAGTAAAGTATATTAAAGATGAAAATAAAAAAGTACTTTTCTTAGAAAAAAGATATTCAACATAGGTGGGTGAGTTACTTTGATAAACTTTTTAATGAAGTTTCTGAAAATACGATCGACCTTAGTGATCTTAATCTCGTGAATAATAATAAAACGTTTCAGTTTTACCGTCGCATTAGTAAAAAAAAAGTTGAGGCGGCTTTAAAGAAAACAAAGAGTGGAAAGTCTGTAGGACCTGATGATATCCCTATTGAACTGTGGAAATATTTGGGAGATTTAGGAGTTTCTTGGCTTACTAAACTCTTTAATATTATTTTAAAAACTAAAAAGATGCCTGAGGAGTGGAGGAAGAGTATTTTGATATCTATTTTTAAGAATAAAAGGGATGAACAAGAGTGTGCAAATTATAGAGGAATTAAGTTGATGTGTCATACTTTAAAATTATGGGAGAGGGTAATTGAACATAGGTTAAGACGCATCACAAAAATTTCTCATAATCAATTTGGATTGGGCAGGTCTACTATGGAAGCTAAATATTTATTGGGAGGGTTTAAGGAGGAGTTTAGAGATAATAAGGAGAATCTACATTTGATTTTTATTGATTTAGAAAAAGCTTACGATAAGGTTCCAAGAGATATCCTTTGGAGAGTTCTCGAGAAGAAAGGTGTTGATATGAATTATATTCAAGTCATTAAAGATATGTATACTAGAGTTGTTACTGGTGTTCAAACTGAAGGAGGATTGACAAAATATTTTCATATTTCTGTTGGATTACATCTGGGATCGGCTTTAAGCCCATATATTTTTGCTTTAGTTATGGATGGTCTTATGGACATCTACAAGAGGATGTACCTTGGTGTATACTTTTTTTTGATGATATCATTCTCGTGGATAAAACGAGAGAAAAAGCCCAGGAAAAAAATTGAATTATGGATATGGATAAAAAAAATTGAATTATGGATATCTACATTGGAGTCTAAAGGCCTTTGTTTAAGTAGAACTAAAACTGAATACATGGAATATAATTTTAGTAGCAATTGTTCTAGTGATAGAAGTGTGACTTTGAGTGATCAAATTATTAAAAGGTGTGGAACGATTTAGATCTATTGAGTCTGTTATTCAAAGCAATGGTGATATAGATGGGGATGTTAATAGTAGAATTCAAGTTGGTTGGTTGAAGTGGAGGAATGCTTTGGGCCTTTTGTGTGATAGAAAAGTACCGCTTAGACTGAAAGGAAAATTTTATAAGACGGTGGTGAGACCTGCAATGCTCTATGGCGCTGAATGTTGGCCTTCAAAAGAGAAGCATAATAATAAGTTAAGTGTTGTCGAGATGAGAATGATTAGGTGGATGAGTGGCTTTACACTTCGAGACAAAATGCGAAATAAATATATTAGTGATAGGGTTGGTGTAGCTCCTGTGACGAACAAAATTATAGAAGGTCATCTTAAATGGTTTGGTCACATTAAACGTCGACCATCTGATGATCCGGTTAGTAGAGTAGATGTTTTAGATTTGACTTGTGTTAAGAAAGGTAGAGGTAGACCTAGGAAGACTTGGGCTTATTGTATTATAAATGATCTTAATTTACTAGAACTAAATGAAAATATGACACTAAATAGGGCGCAATGGAGAAAAAAGGATTCATGTAGCCGACCCCACGTAGTGGGATTAAGTCTTTGTTGTTGTTGTTGTTGTTATTGTTGTATCAAGTTTGTTAAAGTTTATTAAGATTGAAGTTTTATTTAAGTTTGATTTATTAAAGTTTATTCAAGTTCATTAAAATTTATTAAAGTTTAACAAATTTATTATGACTTTTTTCTTAGTTATATTTGAAGTTGATTAGGCTCAACAATTGAGAGTCAAAGCGTAGAGCTTGAATTTGGAATTTAGGTTTGAGGTTGTAGATTTGAGCTGAATTGAAAGTGAAGTTGAATTAGACTTGATTTGAATGAGTTTGGAATCGACTTGGTTTTGATTTGAATTAGATTGGAATTGATTTTTGAAATTGACTTCGATTGGTGGAGTTTGAGTTTGATGTTGATTTAATTTAAATAGAAACTGAGTTTGAACAAATTCTAGAATAAAGGGTGGAAAAAGGGTAGAGGATTTCTAGAAAAAAGATGAAGCCCTAACCTAATGGTAGGAGGCAATAGGTGGACTAACCAAAATTTTGGAAATAAAACACCCAGTCAAGATGCCCATGACTTTCTATCATCCTGAGTACATTAATATCCTTAGATTATGAACTATTAAAAAAATAAGTGGTATCCCTTATCCTCAAAACAATGACCCAAGGTAGACCGTCCTATTATTAAATGGTTTTGGAGTATCTACGAGAGTAATCATGGGTACTTTCATTCTAGTATACTCTTATAGTTCTATGGGGTAAGTCATTTCTTAGGTGCAATATCAAACATTGAACAAGTTGCCTATTGAACAAATAAGTTCTTTTCAGAAAAATAAAATTATCTCGGAATCCATGTCATTCCTCGAGATTCATGCTGAATGATAGAAATTTGTTGATGGCATATCAGATCTCACCAAGCCGAGTTCAGGATGTTCTTGCCAGTTGAGTTGACTCAAAGAGACTTGCTGGATAGATTCACATAAGACTTACTTGTCATGCTCCAGGTAAATTTGCTAAGGAAGAATTCGCCCATACCAACATTGATTTCCAGATCGACTCACCCTAGGCATTCACCCAAGCTCAGAAAGCTATTCAACAAACTCCTTTTGAGAACAAACAATTTTTTTCAATTCTAACAACACTGCTAGCCCAAATCTAATTTCTCCTCTAGGCTATACATCTCTTATATTTTGTACTTTCTTATATATGTAACGCATTTTGCAGTCATTCCTATAACTTATTTTTCAAATATAAACTAGTTACATTTTCAATTTGTTATTTCAATTGCTGTTTTTTTTATTTCAATTACAAGTTTGTTTTTCCATTGAAGTCTTTTACGCGCACATCCATGATCTGACACGTAAATAATAGAGTAACAACCTAACGAGGGCAGAAGCTTGGATGCGCACTCGAGAGCGACGGAGAAGTACGAGTGGAAAAGGCAGACCGAAGAGACTGCGGCACGAACGAGCTCTGCGCGCCAGCGAAGGCTGTTCAAAAGGGTTCGAGCATCGCAGGACGTGTCCGATAAGTGGATCTCCGCCAACGACAAACAAAAGGCAAAATCACTAATAGGAGAGGACACCTGGTTAAAATGTCGAAGGAGTGAAGCAAGGAAGCGAGAGCGAAGCAGGAAACGTCGTGCCAAACGAACTTCTTTTACGACCTCCCGCCGCACCACAAAGGAAAAGCCGTGACAAAGGGAGCCTAAGAGGAAAAACCAGGGTTGCACAATTGTATCCACGTTGTCTTACATTGAAGCCCAAAATTTCTATTTCACTGAGCCAATATCGATTATAGTTTTATTATTTTGTATTTTTGATGAGCGGAATATGTGTTGTGACATCAGTAAGTACATAAACTTGTAAAATAATGTAATTTAAGAGTATCATGAGCAACGCCCATTTAATAATTATTACTTTTTTATTATTTTTATTTATTT